ATCAACTAAAAACAAAGGAAGAAACTTAAATGTGCACAACATAAACGTACAACTCCTTAACTACAACGAACAACAGTAATCGTATGTATCCGAGAAGCTGGTGTCTAGTGCGATGCAGGGTTTCAGCATGGAGAAATTTTTAAGTGCAGTGTGTGAGTACAAAAAATCGTCCACGGTGATGTAAAGCATTGTAGTATTTATAAGCAAATAAACCATCCTCGATCTCCTATTTTCACAAGCACCGCTCAACAATCGTCTTCTATACGTGCTTGCCTTCAACTGCTACTGTCCATTATCTATGATTGCTTATGATCGTGCTGTCAGTTGAGGCTTTTTCCATAGTTGGTATCACCCACGATCTTTCTTCGTGTCTTGAACCTTCCACTGATGTTAACCGTTGATAACTACTTTGAGCCTTGTAACTTTTTTGATATCACTTTTTGAGCTCTATCATGTCTCTTGTGAACTTAGAATAATTTCTGCCTTAGTTTTTACATTTTGATGAATTCTAGAAAAAATTTGAGAGCTCTTTTAGTCTTATGGACTTAGAATAATTTCTTCCTCAATTTCTACTTTTTAACCAATTCTGGGAGAAATCTGAGAGTTTATTCAGTCATGTGGACTTAGAATAATTTCTCCCTTAGTCTCTACTTTTTGATCAATTCTAGGAGAAATTTGAGAGCTGATTCAGTCTCGTTGACTTAATTTCCTCACTAATTTCTATTTTTTAAGTAATTCTAAGGGAAGTATGGGATCTCGCTTAGTTTTGTGGACTTAAAATATTTTTCTTGTCAGTTCCTATTTTTTGACCAATTTTGGGGTTAGGACTTGAAAATCCTAAAAAAATAGATTTAAGTCTCAGAGCAGTCCTCAAAACACAATCCAACACTAAGACTCATTACTAGTCAATTCCATGTCATCTCTCTATCTTTGCTAGATCTTCAGAATTAAGGTCCTCGCTAATCCAAGGTAACAATTGCCTGAATCAACTGTGACCTCTGTACCAGTCACTCGCTCAAAGGTCCATCTAGACGGTCTTCTGAGATGGTCGTGATCGTTATATATAAAGAGATAGGTGAGGACTGCTAAAGTTCTAACAATATCACTATAGATATAGATATATAGGGTCTGATGTAATATACTCCTAGGATAATCAAAAGAGATACTATAAAAGAAATTCGCCTCTAACATAATAAAAGTCCTAGGTACATCTTCAACAATAATAACAAACTTAAAATAACATAATCTTTAATATTTATTAAATACATAATTAAGCCTATTATGTACTGACCTATCTATTAGTCTAACTCTTCCCTAAGGCCCCGTCATCCTGTTTTCCTGAAAATATTAGTAAGGATGAGCGTTTATTCTATCATTTACAAATCATTACATCACATAATCATAGTTTATAATATACATACAATATATTCATTTTCACACTTATTCATATTGCAAACATATTCACAACTCAACAATTTATTATACATTATCTATTCTCTCATTCCAATACATAGTGCACTATGATCACAGATATCGATGTCTCTTGCATTTCTTGAGGACTTACTCAATTAGGTAAATAGTCGCCGATTAGCCCATGCACAAAGATACAATGTATACAATAATGGACCCCTTAACAAAGGTATAGTTAAGAGTCTAGTCAAGAAATGAGCGTGAAGCTAAGTGGCATATTCGCTCTCAAAAAGAGCATGTACACATACGCAAATGTTACTCACCATCCTATATTTTTCCTAGATTTTTCATCGTCTATGGACTCTATGCCCCCAATGTATTTCTGTAACTATTCATACTACATCCAATCCATATCCAACACTTAAAATCATTCTTCGAGTTATTCTTTTTCTTTTTCTACTCATAAGACCGTGCTTAGTAAAGCACTTTCAGACTAAATCTATTCCACTTATACCACTTTTTAATATATTTACAATTACTAAATCCTTTAGATCAGTATCACACTTTATCATAACATTTCTTCCAGACATATTCTATCAAATCACATCATAATTACTTAGCAAGTTTAATAATATTTCATATTAAATACTCATCATATAATGCATATAAGCATGTAATAACTAATCAGTTCAAACAGTTAAACAAACATATTTCAACCATTATTCACACTATATATATATATATATATATATATATATATATTTCAACCACATCTTTTTATGAAATGTTCATGTAACAGTGCTCCAATGAGCACAAAATAAATACTGTAATATAACGACAAAATAGAGCCCTCTTTACCTCAACTTTAGTTTACGGAAAGATATTGACGAAGATTATAGTTCAAATATAGAAGTTCTCTTGAGTACCAAGAGATATCCGTAAGGAATAAAAAATATAAAGAATGATCAGAGAAAACAAAGTTTTATCTAGAGAAACTTACTTGGAATCGTTTAGATTCAACGTCTAAGCTCAGATTTAAAGAGTAACCAGAGTTTCTAAGGCTTTTCTCTGGAGAAAGGAAGAGAGAGTTCAGAGAAAATGAGAAGGGAACGTGAGTTTGAAATGAAATAAAATTTTTATTCTAGAAATCTCTTAAATACTTCTTAGTACCGCGCGTGATATATCCAGATAGTGGTCTCGCCCAACATTTCCTGATATGCTCTCTTGAGCGAGCTCTATCTTGTTTGAGCAAGATGATGTCTAGAGAACATGATGTTTTTCCTGTGAGTCCTAACCTGAGCGAGATCACTCTCACTAGAGCGAGATGACAATTGGGCTGAATTTATCCTATCTTACTTGAGCGAGATTATCCTAAAACATCATCTTCATGGGCACTCAGTCTCGCTTAAGTGATATTTTCCTCGCTTGAGCGAGACCTCCTGCACCAGAATCCTTCCATAATAATTCATACTCTCTTCTAAATGTATTCTCTTCTAAATGTATTATAATACTACTTAATATCAAACAAAACATAATTTACTGAATAATGAAAAAGAGGGTGTTACAAAAATAAGCGAATTAAATCAACTAAAAACAAAGGAAGAAACTTAAATGTGCACAACATAAACGTACAACTCCTTAACAACAATGAACAACAGTAATCGTGTGTATCCAAGAAGTTGGTGTCTAGTGCGATGCAGGGTTTCAGCGTGGAGAAATTTTTAAGTGCAGTGTGTGGGTGCAAAAAGTCGTCCACGGTGATATAAAGCATTGTAGTATTTATAAGCAAATAAACCATCCCTGATCTCCTATTTTCACAAGCACCGCTCAACAATCGTCTTTCATACGTGCTTGCCTTCAACTGCTGCTGTCCATTATCTACGATTGCTTATAATCGTGCTGTCAGTTGAGGCTTTTTCCATAATTGCTATCACCCACGATCTTTCTTCGTGTCTTGAACCTTCCACTGATGTTAACCGTTGATAACTACTTTGAACTTTGTAACTCTTTCGATATCACTTTTTGAGCTCTATCATGTCTCTTGTGAACTTAGAATAATTTCTCCTTCGATTTCTACATTTTAATCAATTCTAGAAAAAATTTGAGAGCTCTTTTAGTCTTGTGGACTTAGAATAATTTCTTCCTCAATTTCTACTTTTTGACCAATTCTGGGAGAAATCTGAGAGCTTATTCAGTCATGTGAACTTAGAATAATTTCTCCCTTAGTCTCTACTTTTCGATCAATTCTAGGAGAAATTTGAGAGCTTATTCAGTCTCGTTGACTTAATTTCCTCATTAATTTCTATTTTTCAAGTAATTCTAAGGGAAGTCTGGGATCTCGCTTAGTTTTGTGAACATAAAATACTTTTCTTGTCAGTTCCTATTTTTTGACCAATTTTAGGGTCAGGACTTGAAAATCCTAAAAAACTCCTTAAAACTTGAAAATCCTAAAAAACTCCTTAAAAGACTTTTAGTCTTGTGGACTTAAAATATTTTCTTGTATGTCCTATTTTTCGAACAGTGTTGGGTTGTAGGGACTTGAAAATCCTCAAAAAATTCTCGAAAGACCTTCAGTCTTGTGGGACTTAGAATATTTTTCTGTTAGTCCTATTTTTCGGGCAGTTTTAATTGTAAGGGACGTAAAAATCCTTAAAAACTTTTTGAAAGACCTTCAGTCTTGTAGACTTAGAATATTTTCCTGTCAATCTTATTTTATAAACAGTTTTTAGTGTCTTCATGTTCTGTCAAAACTACTCAAAATATGACCTTCTTGAAGAAGTTATGTGATTCTCCAAATCTCCTTGAAAGGTAGATCCTCCAATAGGATTTTATAACTTAGAAAATTTTTCTTACTTTAAACACTTAGTAATATAAAGAAAAAATGTGCAAAATATTATTTTATATATAATTAATTATTTATTTTTTTAAAAAAAATAAACCGTGGGTAGCTCGGTTGGCATAACACCAATACTGAATTTTATGAAGATATCACACATGATTATTAAGTACAAATATAAAAGTTCCATCTTAATTTTTGATCTTATAATTTCTTTTTTTGTTCTTTACACATAACAACATTATTCAACCAAAACAAATATAATTGGAATATTTTAAAAATACTTGGGGAGTTAAATTAAATAATTCAAAATTCTTTTAAACGAATTACATTTAGATCTCTTTTTTAATTATACATTTTCATCTTTTAATATTCAATAAAATTTTAGTTGATATCTTATTTAAAATTATTTTAATCATATTCGTAAGAATAATCTGAATATTAAAAAAAATATAGCGTTATGACGTTATATTAATTAAAAATTAATTTACTATATATTTAATTTTTATGTTATAGTTGATACTCTTTAAAATTTAAATGCTTTATTATATTATAATGATAGAGATTAAAATATAATAAAGATTTTGACAAAATATAAGAAAACGAGATAAAATTCTTGACATGAAGATTAAAATATTAGTTATAATTTTAAAGTTAAAATCCATTGATTTGGAATAGTACAGCAGTTGTCCGATTCAACCATAGTTCATGGGTGTATATATATATACAGCTATTGGCAATACAACTTCTCACCATAATCAATCTATTTGTATTCAGTGAATTTGATCGATCACTTAAATTGTGATGTCAATGATGAATTCAGTTTGTTTAGAAATGATGAAAGGCATATTGATGGTGTGTTTGGTGTTGCAGATTGTCTCTGCCAAACAGCCAATTAGATGCATTCAAAGAGAGAGGGAAGCTCTCCTTCAATTCAAGGCTACACTTGTGGTTGACTACAACATGCTCTCGTCATGGACCACTCCAGATTGTTGCCAATGGAAGGGAATTCGTTGCAGCAACCTCACTGCCCACGTTCTCACGCTCGACCTCGGAGAATATTTACTCCGCGGTGACATCCACAAGTCATTGATGGAGTTGCAACAATTACAGTACTTGAACCTCAGTTCGAATAATTTTCAAGATATTCATATCCCAGAGTTTTTCTCTTCTCTTCACAACTTGAGATCCCTTGATCTCTCGTATGCTGGTTTTGGTGGAAAAATTCCAAGTAAATTTGGGTCTCTCCCACATTTGAAATACTTAAATCTTGCTCACAATTCTTTGGAGGGTTCAATCCCTTGTCAACTTGGAAATCTCTCCATGTTGCAGCATCTTGATCTCAGTGGCAATTCTCTAGAAGGAAATATACCATCTCAGCTTGGGAACCTGTTCAACTTGCAAAAGCTTTATCTTGGAGAGTATGACAGTGCTCTCAAAATGGATGATGGGAATCACGGTGGAGGTCAGTGGCTGTCTAATCTCACTTCTTTGACCCAACTTTATTTGATCTCTATATCTAATCTCAACGGTTCTCATCATTGGCTGCAAATGATTGGCAAGCTTCCAAAACTAAAAGAACTAAGTTTATCTGATTGTAGCCTTTCCGATCATTTTATCCTTTCAATGAAGCCTTCTAAATTCAATGTTTCTAATTCTCTTTCTGTCTTAGATCTCTCTGAAAACACCTTCACATCGTCCATCATATTCCAATGGGTGTCAAACATGAGTTCAAATCTTATTGAGCTTGACCTTGCTAATAACCTCGTAGAGGCTCTCCCATCAAACCATTTTGCTACTAAGACTGTTAAGCTACCCAAGCTAAGAGAATTAAGGTTATCTGGCTGTCTCCTTTCCGATAATTTTCTCCATTCAATGACTCCTTCGAACTTCAATTTTTCCTCTTCCCTTTCCATCCTTGATCTCTCTGAAAACACCTTCACATCATCCATGATATTCCAGTGGGTGTCAAACATGAGTTCAAATCTTATTGAGCTTGACCTTGGTGGTAACCTCTTAGAGGGTTCCCAATCTCATTCTGGCATAAGGATGAAGTCGCTTGAGAGGCTTGACCTCTCAGGTAACGGACTCAAGGGTGGATTTCTGAAATCCATCATGAATATATGCACCTTGCGTTCTTTGAACATGCAAAGAAATAATTTAATTGAAGATCTTCCATCAATTCTTCATAATTTGTCTGGTGGTTGTCTTAGATATTCATTACAAGATTTGGATCTGAGCAATAATCAAATCATTGGCTCCTTAACTGACCTTTCAGGGTTCTCATCTTTGAAAACATTGGATCTTTCTAGAAATAATTTAAATGGAGAGATACCTTATGGTACCAAATTGCCCCCTCAGTTGGAGTCTTTGTCGATCCAATCGAACTCCTTGGAAGGTGGTATTCCAAAATCATTTGGGAACGCATGTGTTTTGAGCTCATTGGACCTTTCTTCTAACAATTTGAATACAGAGCTCCCAAAGATAATCCATCGTTTATCTGGGTGTGCTAGATACTCCCTGCAAATATTGAATCTCGGAGAAAACAAAATCAATGGCACGTTGCCTGACCTCTCAATGTTTTCAACCTTGAAAACATTGGACCTTTCTGAAAATAATTTAAATGGAATACCTGATGGTAGCAAATTGCCCCCTAAGTTGGAGTCTTTGTTGATCCAATCGAACTCCTTGGAAGGTGATATTCCAAGATCATTTGGGAACGCATGTGCTTTGAGCTCATTGGACCTGTCTTCTAACAATTTGAATATAGAGCTCCCAATGATAATCCATCTTTTATCTGGGTGTGCTAGATACTCCCTGCAAATATTGAATCTCGGAGAAAACAAAATCAATGGCACGTTGCCTGACCTCTCAATGTTTTCAACCTTGAAAACATTGGACCTTTCTGAAAATAATTTAAATGGAATACCTGATGGTAGCAAATTGCCCCCTAAGTTGGAGTCTTTGTCGATCCAATCGAACTCCTTGGAAGGTGATATTCCAAGATCATTTGGGAACGCATGTGCTTTGAGCTCATTGGACCTGTCTTCTAACAATTTGAATATAGAGCTCCCAATGATAATCCATCTTTTATCTGGGTGTGCTAGATACTCCCTGCAAATATTGAATCTCGGAGAAAACAAAATCAATGGCACGTTGCCTGACCTCTCAATGTTTTCAACCTTGAAAACATTGGACCTTTCTGAAAATAATTTAAATGGAGAGATACCTTATGGTACCAAATTGCCCCCTCAGTTGGAGTCTTTGTCGATCCGATCGAACTCCTTAGAAGGTGGAATTCCAGAATAATTTGGGAGCACATGTACTTTGAATTGGTTGGACCTTTCTCATAATAGTTTGAGCGAAGAAGTAAAAGGGATATTTAGTCACTTTTCTGGGTGTTCTGGATATTCACTGCGAGAAATATATCTCAATGGCAACAAAATCAATGGCACAATATCTGACTTCTCAGTGTTTTTAAAATTCAAAACAGTTTGGCTCTCAGGGAATCGATTAGGTGTGAAGATACCTAAAAGCAGCATATTATCATTAGATCAATTGGAGAAAGAGAGTGGAGTTCCAATTTCATTTCAAAATGCAGGTACTTTGCAATCACTGCACCTGTCCAATAATAGTTTGAGTGAAGAGCTTCCGACGATAATCCATCACTTGTCAAGATATGCTAGATACTCATTGCAAGAATTAGATCTAAGCATGAATCAAATCAACGGCACTCTGCCCAACCTCCGTCCACTGCTCCCATCTTTGAAAGCATTGGATCTTAGTGAAAACAGGCTTAATGGGACCATTCCTAAAGATGTTCAATTTCCAACAGAACTAGAGAGTTTAGTTTTGAATTCAAACTCTATGAAAGGTGTGATCACTGACTTCCACTTTGCTAATATGTTTGAGTTAGAATCATTGGACTTGTCTGAGAACTCATTGGGCTTGGCATTTACCCACAATTGGGTCCCACCATTTCAGTTGTCCGTCATCAGATTGAGATCTTGCAAGCTAGGTCCAGCGTTTCCCAAATGGTTGCAAACACAAAATAACTACGCCACTATTGACATTTCTGATGCTGGAATATCAGATACTGTTCCACGTTGGTTTTGGGCTAAAATAGCGTCGCAAGAGTGGATGGAAATGAATATTTCACACAACAATCTCAAAGGTGTAGTTTCAAATTTTCCACTAAAGAATCCTCAATATTCTCTAATTCTTGCATCGAATCAATTTGAAGGTCCAATACCACCATTTCTACTACATTCAACGATTCTCGATCTATTAAACAATACATTTTCAAATTCTCTTTCATTTTTATGTGCCAGCGGTGTAGCCGATACTTTATACAGTCTAGACCTTTCAAACAATCAATTATCTGGACAAATTCCAGATTGTTGGAGCCACTTCAAGTCACTAGTTTATCTAGATTTGAGTCATAATAAATTTTCAGGAAAGATTCCTACTTCAGTAGGATCACTTTTTCAACTTCAAGCACTGCTATTGAGAAACAATAACTTAACAGAGGAAATTCCTTTCTCGTTGAGAAGTTGCACAAAGTTAGTAATGATAAATATGGCAGAAAATGGATTATCAGGACCTATCCCTACTTGGATTGGAAGCACGTTGCAAGTGTTGCAAATTTTAATCTTAGCAAGGAATCAATTCTTTGGAAGTTTGCCATTACAAATTTGTTATCTAAAAAGCATTCAACTTTTGGATCTCTCACTCAATAATTTCTCTGGACAAATTCCTAAATGCTTCCAAAATTTCACTTCAATGGCTCGAAACACTTCCTCGAAGCATCATCAACATTATTTTGTCAACACGAGTTATGTGACGGGAAATACGTCTTATGATTTGAATGCAATCTTAATGTGGAAAGGTGCGGAAGAAATGTTCACGAATTATGGGCTTTTCCTTTTAAAAAGCATTGATCTCTCTAGCAACAACTTCTCAGGAGAAATTCCAGCAGAAATAGAGGATTTATTTGCATTGATTTCATTGAATTTATCAAGAAACAATTTGAGAGGAGAAATTCCTTCAAATATTGGAAAGCTTGCATCACTTGAATTTCTTGACTTATCAAGAAACCAAATTGTTGGTTCAATTCCTTGGAGTCTTACTCAAATTGATCGACTCACCATGTTAGATTTGTCGCATAACCATCTAAGAGGAGCAATTCCAACTGGTACACAATTACAAAGTTTCAATGCTTCCAGTTATGAAGATAATTTTGATCTTTGTGGGGCGCCACTTGAGAAATTGTGTGTTGAAGGGGAACCACCGCAAGAACCAATTCAAGAGAAAGATGATTCGCTCTTCACTCGTGGATTTTACATTAGCATGACATTTGGATTTGTGATAGGCTTTTGGGGGATCTTCGGCTCAATCTTGATTAAGCGTTCTTGGAGGCATGCTTATTTCAAGTTCTTGAACAATTTCATAGACTCTTTATGTCATGGTTGCAAATAAACTTATCAACTACAGGCGTTGATCCAGAGCATTGCTGGTAATAATGGCTAAAGGTTAGCAGGTAATATATATTTTTATTGTTATTCTAGAATATTAGTAAATTGTTTATAGAATACAGTTTTATAATAAAATGTTTAATAAATTATAGAGTGATATTACCTGTGATTATAACATTTCATATTTTTTTAACTTTTAACATAATTAATTTTTTAAATAATATAAAAAATAGTTTTGAATTAGGCATGAGATAATTTAGAAACCCTTAATTCATATGAATTAATCAATAAGAATTTTACAATATCATATTATATTTTCAAACACATCAATACTTATTATCATATTATTTTTTTATTAATTAAAATAAAGTTTACAAATAATGTTTGTATCAAACTATACTAAACCAAGCAAAGAAAAAAAAGATTTTAAATCACTCTTAAAACTTTGAAAACTCTTGAAAATTACTTTTTCAAAAAGTTTAAGTTTAGAGTCTAACTTCTTTTGTAAATTCAAGTTTTAAGACCAAGTTTATATACTTATTTTATCATAACAAATTAATAAAACATCAAAATAAATTTTACTGTAAATTTATCTCTAACAATATGTAAAATTCAAATCTACTTGTCAATAGTTTAATATCAAAGATATCATCCAATAATAATATAATTTTAAATTTTTTAAAAAAAATATTTAAAAGAATTATAAAAATAATATTAAAAGCAAAAAATTAAAATTTAGGAATACCAAAAAACCGAAGGTGTAAGAAATGTGACATCATCTACATAAAACTCATTATATGAAACAAATCAAATGTCACAAAAAAATAACGAAATTTTTTTAAAAGGTATTAATAAAGAAACTATAAAAAAAATAAAAAAATTGGCAGACTAATTTAAAATAAATTAAAAATAAAAGATCAAATAAAAACTATATAAACAGTGTTATTTGAAATTGAGTATTTGAATAGACTAAAGTTGTGAACATACCGAAAATAAAAAATTATACGTTTAGGAGTGTTGTGCTTATAATGAAATATAAAATACCACATATTTTAATAATAGTTTACTTAAATAGCTTTATATTCAAAATCTTGTTTTCATGAAGAAATTTTTTAGTTAAACATATTTGCTACAAGAAAGTTACTATTTCACTGTGTGCCTCATTTTCAATTTTTCAAGAATTAAAAGAAATTAAAAAAATTAGAAAGACAAATTTGTGAATCTCAATTGAAAATTACATGAAAATGGCTTTAATTTTCAAAATATGCATAAATCTCAATTTATATGTTAAAAAGTTATAAAATGAAATAATATGCATCAAACTCTAGCTAACTAAAACGTCTTCTCTGATCATAGCCAAATAGTTCACACTTCAACTGTGGCTTTAAAATTAAGTAAAATCTTCCAGTGTAAATGATAAGTAGTTTCAACACGTTTTAACAGAAGAAATGTTGCATCAAACTCAAGCTAACTGCAACCTCTTATCTGATTAGTACTTAGTTTTTGGTAGTCATGTAACCCAAATAAATAAACAGAAGAAAATTTCTTAATTATGAACCTATGAACAAAGTCATTTCATGCATTATTTAGGAGCCAAGGTTTTCTCCCACAAAGATGGTTTTGAGTAATGAAACTAGTTAACACAAACAAATTAATGCAGAAAAAGGATTCAAACTGAGAAACCAAGCTTTAATGTGATTGCAAATCATGCCTTCGATGGTGATTCGCTAGAGATGGGGGTAGAAGTATCAGTTCCAGATTGAGATGCAAGTGTCTCCAGCGTCTTGTGAAATTCTTCAGGGAGAGGAGGAGGTCGGTGGAGAGGAACATGCTTGGGAACTGGAGCATCATTCTCAATCACCTCACATTCGTAATCATCTGGAACACCCCATGGATCCCACTCTGCAATCCAACACATAGACGTGAACAAATTTTTTAATAGTTGCTGCAAAAGCTTTGCAAGGAATGCACTTAACAATTCCCTTTCATATACATTTGTATGAATTCAGAATGCAAGACAAATAAAGGATCGATTGGTTTGAAAAAACATTTTTACTTATATTTTCTGTTTTCACTTTTAATTGCAAAAGTATCACCTATGTTTTACTTTGTTTTTTATTTTCAAAAATTTACATAAAAAACACTATGTTGTTCAAAAATTTAAACAATTAATTCCAAAAAGATTACATGATACTTCCATGCTTGATTTAAAATAAAAATTATGAAACTTAAAAATGCAACTTAGTTTTTGTTATATAATGTGCTTATCATACAATAAAGATTTGGATATGCAAACAAAATTTAGATTAGCATCAAAGCATAAAGAAGAATCAAAGTTACAAACAGTTATCAAGAAATAACAAAAGTCTTGGGCAGCATGCTCCATATGTACCCTAACTGGGATAACATCCTCATTCAAGTATAAAGTATATATACACTTGTAAACAGCACCAAAGTTAAAAACCATAAGTTGTTCCAGATTCAAGTTGTTACTCCAAGACAAACACTATCATTTACAAAAACAAAAACAACCAAATGTTTGGACTTTCTAAATTTAAAACATAAGAATTTCTTCCAAAGGGCAAGATCTTAACTGAAATATATTCAGCGCCATCCAGATCAATATTGACTGACCTACATTATAGACTAAATAATATTATAGTTTATAACCATGACCAGGCAAAATAGATAATTAGATATTTTATATGCAAAAAACTTGCATAAATTAGTAAAAGGCAAACAGAGGATCTAGTGTTCCTAGAATATATCTCAATTACACGTAGTGGATTTTTTTTTCCCCCTTAATTCAAATTTACTCGAATGATATGTTGGAAAAGACCTTCAGAATCAATAGTCAATTATTCAGCTGTAATGAAACTTAATTTTTCCGGAAATAATTATGAGCCGAATGAATTTCCCTTTCTTTCATTCAGCTAGCACTGCATTACAGATTTATAATTGGGAAAAAAATCATGATCACCAGGTTTGAAAAAGTAAATGAATCTACAAATAACCATGATCAGGGTAATCCGATAGTAAATGAAACAAGCTAAAAATAAAGAAGATTTAATAATTAATCTTCAAATAAACCAGGATGTTGCACAAAACAGATCAATTGAAACAAGCAACCTACACAATTTCATTCATTAAACCAGGACTCACATTTAATAAACCAACTGCTGCCAACCACGAAACATCCCTAGGAACACAATCGCATCTAGAAAAAAGTAAAAAAGAATCCAAACAAAAGGAAAAACATCCCGCAATTTCACATTTGCTTCTCTTTCCATCACTCCTCAGTCACACCATTCTACAAACACAAAATATGAAACAACACAAGCAAATCCATCGATAATAGCAAACAAACCACACAAACAGCATAAACAAAAACACAATATTCATGTAATAACAATAAACATTTGAATTAAAAAAATAAAATTTAAAAATACCGATCATGTGAGAAATAAGTTTGAGCTCATCGCGAGCCTCTTCGATGAGTTCCTCGACTTGTCCACAACCGAGTCGTTTCTCGATGGCTTCCCAATCTTCCTCTTCCCGACACACTTTGAGCCTGTGCTTCGTGAAACTCTCCACCGCCTTACGATACCCTTCGTCTTCTGGAACCTTCTGGATCTCGTTCAGTGTCTTGCTGTAGAGCCCTATCAGCACCTCCCTCGCGTTCGGCACCACATCTAACCCAACGATCCCCGTCGTCGCCTTCACCTTCGCCATCAATGGCCGCGCCACCGCACGCAGAAACATCTTCGATCACTCTCACTCTTCTTTCCGATCGACGATGCTACCCCGGTCCTGATTGGAAATAGACACTATAGTAAACTCTTACGAGAACCCCTGTAGTTTTGGATGATATTTTTGGGCCACAGTTACAGTTGCTAATTAGGCCTTCAGTGCGTTGGCCCAGATAATCTTCAGGCCTTTACTTGTTACATGAGACAGTTGGACAAAGAAAAAAAAAAGAACCATGTGTTGTGAAATTCTGAACTTTTGGAACATTTAAATTGTTTTCAAAAGTAGATTGTCTCAATTAGTTTATTTTGTATTAGAAAAAAATAATTATTATTTATTTGAAAAAAGGGAGAAATTATTTTTCAAAAAAAGATTTTTTTTTTATCAAATAAGCTATAAATAAAACCCTACTTTCCTATGCAAAAGAAATGCATGTGCATTGGTCAAAAATAGTTCAAATAACATAAGGATTTATAAATTGGTTTTAGAATATCTTTTTCTATAATTTTCTCTTAACCTTATATGTATATAGTTCAAATAAATTGTACAAAAAATATCGGTAAAATAATAATCAAGAATTTTAATTCACAAAAATAAAATGAATATAAATAAAATACAACTAAGTTAGAATTAAGTAGTATTTGAATACTTATACACATATTCTGCAACTCTTTAAGAGTGAGATAATTTCATCACAATACTACTAAGGTTATTCCCTCTAGTATTTTATTTTTCAAACTCAAATTATTGATATTTTAAAAAATCTTTCAATCTTAAGCTTGATATTAAAAACTGTCAAATAATATCAAAAGAATTTTATCAATATCACCACAAGGTTAGTGTTTAAAGTTTTGAAAGAATTCCTCATAACATAATTCATTATTTTAATTGTTAGCAATATCACCATATTTGATTAAATATTTAACATATGTTTAACAGTTAATTCGATTATCCAATTTCACCAAAAAGAAAAGGCCCATTAATTAATAAATTTGTAACTCAATTGGTATATTTTTGGTGCTTGGTTAAGAGGATCAATAGATTCTCCAAAGGCATTTGACATATGCCCCATTTTCCTTGGTAAGTCATTATAATTAGTAATTGTTTCTTGAGAGTTGGACTAAAGGTGACCATAAGGAGGGTCTATTGTTATGTTAATGACACTGGTTCTTCTTATTGCATTTACATATGATACAAATCCTGTTATTTGATTCACCGTAGTCTTAGCTTCTATAGAATCCATTACTACTTTGGTTTGATTAGAAGTAAATGCAATAACCATCTAATATTAGACATTTTGTAATTCTTCTATTTGACGCAAAATTTTAAGATTTTTGAGCTTCAAATTCACAAGTTTGCCCACTAAGAAGGCAAATTAACTTCTTTGTGGGTGTAAATTTGTTAATGTTAAATCAAAGAAAGAAAATAAAGATGAATGAAAAAAAAAAAACGTATTAAAAGAATGTACAACCGTCAATCTTTAACTTTTTGCCCGTTATTTCATTAATCAAATTAAGAGAAATACAAATAAGTTTTTTGAAATATTGCATTGATGCTTCATCTTGATTTGATTACTCAATCACAATTAGATTCCTCATTCTCAATATTGTTAATTCCTTTTAACTTTTTCTTCCCTTTCATATGCCAATTTTGTACTTAATATAGTTACATGCATTAGAACTTAAATTCAAGAGTGAAAATTACAAATTAAAATTAATTAATTCAATAGTAATTGATCTACATGCTTAATGATACTTTAATTGTCACTTCACACATATGCAAGATGATATGCTTAGAGATATTTTAATTGAGTATTATTTTTTATTTAAAATTTAAATATGACAAATTATTTATTTTTTACCTAACACATATACACATTCAATTTTTAAAGATGAATAAATAAATTAATTTACTCTATAATTTTTATTATTCTTTAAAATATTTATAGAGTATATATTGTAACACCTTTCTTTTTATTTATTTATTTGTTGTTTGATGATTTTTTTTAATATTGGGTTGTATTCGATTGTGTTTTGTATGGAATGAGTAGTGTTTATTAGAGTTCTAATGCAAGGAGTCCTACTCAAGCGAGGCAGGTGTCACTTATGCGATATTGAGTGCTTAGAACCATATATTTTCAAGGCAATCTCGTTCAAGCAAAATGAATTTCGTTCAAGCGAGAATAGGATAAACTCAGCCTAACTGTCACCTCACCAAAACGAGAGTGATCTCGCTCAAGCGAGTAGAGATCTCATTCAGGTTAGGGCTCACAAGGAAAAATGTCCAACTCTCTAAACGTTGTCTGGCTCAAGCAAAAATATCAAAAAATACTTAGAAATTTCACTGTCTAGTATTCTTGCCCAGGCGAGAATCACGTCGCTTAAGTTAGAGCACACAAGGTTGAGGGGTATTTAAAAGATTTTCAGCATGAAAATTTTATTTTATTCCAAACCTTACGTTCTCTACTCATTTTCTTCAAACTCTCACTCTCTCCTCTCAGATAAAACCTCTCCAAACTCTGATCACTCCTCGAAGTGTTTAACTTGTTAAAAATTGAAAGCAGAACACCAGCGTATGCCAAGAAAGCTGCAACCATTAGAGATTCCTGAATGGAAATGGGATAGTATCTCAATGGATATTGTATCCATGCCAGTTTACCAAGGACAAAACATAATCATGATGTGGTGTGGGTGATTGTAGATCGTTTAACTAAGACTGCACATTTTATTATGATCAACATGTGGTACAAGTTAGAGGTACTAGCAGAGATGTACATCAATGAGATAGTCAGGTTGCACGAGGTAAATTTGAGCATTGTATTGGATAGAGACCCAAGGTTTACAGCAAAGTTTTAGAAAAGTATGCAAAGAGCTTTGGGGACTAAGTTAAAACTTAGCTCAACAAATTATAGACTAATGGGCAAACGGAACAAACCATTCAATCATTGGAGAACTTATTGAGAGCTTGTGTGATGGAGTAACAGGGAATTTGAAATGAATGTCTACCCTTGATAGAATTCACTTACAATAATAACTTCCACGCAAGTATCGGAATGGCACCATACGAGGCGTTTTATGAAAGAAAATGCAGCACACCTTTATGTTGGTATGAAGCTAGAGAACCAATTCTGTATGCACTTGATGTGGTTTAGAGACAAAACGACCAAGTCAAACCTTTTAAAGAAAAGATAAAGGTTGCATAAGATATGTAGAAGAGTTATTATGATCAACATAGGAAGCCTATGAAATTTCAAGTTGGTGACCACGTGATTTTGAGAGTCTCACCCGTTACTAGAGTCGGTAAAGCATTAAAATCAAGGAAATTATCTCCCATATTCATTGGACCATTTGAAATCTTGAGTAGAATTGGTCCTATGGCTTATCAAATTGTCTTACCCCTAAATCTTTCAAACATGCACCTATTTTTCATGTGTCTCAGCTTAGAAGATATATTTCGGATCCCTCTCTTGTAATTGAACTTGATCCTATCCAAGTTCAAGAAAATTTATCATATGATGTATTTCTGGTAAGGATTGCAAACCACCAAATCAAATAGCTAAGAGGTAAAGATATCTCATTGGTGAAAGTGATCTAGAATGCAAGTTATAAAAGAGCTGCCACTTGGGAACCCGAGGCTAAAATGAGGGTGGCATACCCTCATCTCTTTTTGTGTCAGTAAATTTCAGGGGCAAAATTCCTTAAAGGGTGAAAGCGTTGCAACACCCCTCTTTTTTTTTATTTATTTGTTTGTTGTTTGATAAATGTTTTAATATTAGGTGGTATTGGATTGTGTTTTGAATGGAATAGGTGGTGTTTATTAGAGTTCTAGTACAGGGAGTCTTACTCAAGCGAGGTAGGTCTCACTTAAGCGAGGTAGGTCTCGCTCAAGCAAAACTGAGTGCTCAGAATCATATGTTTTCATGGTAATCTCACTCAAGTGAGAATGAGATAAACTCAGTCCAACTATTGTAACACCTTAAATTTAATTTCAAATAAGTGACAGTTTCACAAATTCGTATAACAGGTTTTTCAAATAATATTTTGAAATTAATGAAGGGTTACAAATTCATATCAAATGACTACCATAGGGCTAGTTCATTACAACAAATTTTCAAATAGATTATCCTAAACCCTATAGCAGTCCATCCGCCCTTTCACTATGTCTGGTGCTGATCGTCTTGATTACCTAAAAATGAATGTAAGGGTGAGTATTCTACACTACCAAAACACAAGCAAATATAGAGTCTCACCTTCAAATCATTTTAATTACATTGTAAACCGATATATGAAAATACGCCCTCAGGCAGCATTCAAGCACAGTTCATTACGATTTAACATCGGTGCACTCATGGCACCAACAGCAGTTCATAATCATAACTCACAGCATATTATACCAACGCTTATGCGCCTCATTTACAACATTTTAGCACATTACACCAGCGGTAACACGCTCCATTTACAGTGTTTTATACCGGCGATTAGTCGCCCTATTCGTACTATTGTGCCCACCGGCGATAAGTCGCCCCATTCACACTATTATACGGCACCTAACCTATGTTCAATCACAATTTCACGGCACATAGCCCACATTCAATTCTATTATACGGCACTCGGCCCACGCTTATTCACACATCGTCAAACACATATAATATTCACTAGTTTCGGCACATGGCCCTCATCACATTCTACAACTAATTACATTCCCATACATTTTCTACTCTCTATTGCAACCACATATCCATATTCATTCAAAAACACAACCAATTGCACATAAAAGAGTAAGGTAGAGTCCCTCCTTACCTCGGATCAAAGACTCACGCTCAATGTCGACCACGGGAGTGTTCCCCACACAGATCTCGGCCTAAACACATGGAAGAACTCCATGAGAACCCCAAAAATCCCCAAAACAGAGAAAGGAGAAAGGAAATTGGAACCCTAACTCTTAAAACTTACCTCCAAGCGTTTTCCACACAAATCTGAGCTCTAATCTTGCTCCCGAACAGTTTTGGAGAAAATTAATCGGTGAGAAAGGGGTTTTTGGGGTCGAGAGAAATGAAGAGATTTGGGAAGAAATTTGAGAAATAACTCT